TTTTTTTCTTTCTTTTCCTTTCTTTCTTTCTCTCTTTTCCCTGCTACCGCCCTCTGGCGAAGACTGTTCACACCCATTACGAATGTGTAGAACCTATTTTCTCTGGTCGATATCGTGATGATGAGGGTGCGTTGTGTTCATGGCGACACGATAGTATCTCTTTCTGTCCCACGATTGACCCAGAAATCACCTCCTTGATGACGTGGCTCAGTCAGAACAACAGGATCTTCAGCACATTACGAGCGTCAAATCGAAACCGAATCTGCCGCCTTTTTCCCGAATAGAACACCCGGTCATTAAAGTTGTATTTGGAGCAAGTTCCAGTGCAGATACAGCTGTAATGACCGGGCCTCACATCATCATCATCATCGGAAGAGTATCTTACCAATCCTACCAGTCATTTAAAATCCCCATCGAAAGGAAAAGCCAGCCATGGCCCCAGGCCAAGTCCCTGTCAAATCTACTGTCCCCTCCATCATCCAACCCAGCTAACGTAATCACATCCCCTACGCCTCCCTCCTCCTATCCTCCTCCTCCTCCTCCTCAGTCATCCCTTTCCTCTCTCAATGTGAGCCGATTGATTGCCAAGATCACCAGACTGGGTCCACCCTCCAACCTACCCCCCCCCCCCCCCCCCCCCCCCCCCCCCCCCCCCCCCCCCCCCCCCCCCCCCCCCCCCCCCCCCCCCCCCCCCTTCCTTCCTTCCATCGCCCAACCCCACAGACACCATCATACTCTATCACCGTCATCCATTCCCGTTCACATAATCCCGGCTTCATCCGAATCGAACCCCCTGTCATCGAACCTGTCTTTGGGGCAACTTTAAGTCTATATTCGGCCTAAACCCACCTAAACCCCCACCTAGACCCACCTAGACCCACCTTTACCCACCTTTACCCACCTAAACCCACCTACCCACCTAGATCCACAGCATAAACGCACTCTCCACACCCCGCTGCAGCGTGCATCACTGGCACAATCACATCCTGTCATCATCATCATCATCAACTCGTCAGCGTCATCACGAAGGGAGGGAGTTGATTGAGGCACCATCGATGAAAAAAAAAGAAAAAAAGGATGCATCATCACCTTCCTGACCCACCACTCTCCACCCCACCGCCCACCCCCACCCCCTTCCATCGACCCACATCAGAGACATCATCAGATTCCCTCATCAGCACCCCTTCCCTTCTCACATACTACCCTCTTCCTCCCCAACACAACGCTATCTTTCCGGAGGAGGGCGGTAGCAGCACACACACACACACACACACACACACACACACACACACACACACACACACACACACACACACAGAGGTCATCAGCACCCCTTCCTTATGATGAATGTAGACAAGCTATCTTTCCGATTCGATACGGTCATGATAAGGGTGCGTTGTGTTCGGGGGAAAATGGTGAGGAGTTGATTAATGATTACAATAAGCAGCCTTAATCCACCCTCCCCCCTCCCCTCCGACCTCCCCTCCCCCC